TTCACACAGGTATATTCCACCACTTAGGTGGGATATACGGATTTACAGTCTTGAAATAAAACTGGGAGACAGAGACAGAATGGGTGGGAAGGGGCCGGTTACCCCTGCCCCGGCGCCCGGGAGGCAGCCTGGTCCTGGAGCAGAGGCATTCCCTGCATCCTGCTCTCTCCCGGCTCCCGCTGCACCCAGGGCTAGCAAAACTAACCCGCAGGCACGGCGACGCTTCTTCAAAACATGCAAACAATTTTAGCCTAATTGCGAAAGGAAAAGCAAAGCACAAGCCCTGGCTCTGTCCTTCCCCAGCAAGTCACCCCAAAGCAGAATGATGGAGGGTGATCTCAGCCCTTTCCTTTACTGAGATATGATCAAACACCATCAAAGTCCCAAGGCAGGAGCAAAGCTGGAAATGCAGGGCAACCATGTTTTGCAGTTTAGACTCTCTATCAAGCTTCTACCTGCTATGTTTATCCTTTCAAATCAATAACCCCCATGGTATTCATCAATGTCTGTATCTGTTGCCAGATTTCCCTGTGGTCCCTCTTGGTGACTCTGGTGATCCTGTTCATCCTGACTGGGACAATGCTGGGCCCAGATCTGATGGCACATATCCCTGCATCTGTCTACGCCATTGCGGTGCTGATGCCCCTAGCGGGGTACGCCTTGGGATACGGCTTAGCCACGGTCTTTAAAATGCCCCCACACTGCAGGAGAACAGTGTCTTTGGAAACAGGGTGCCAAAACGTCCAGCTCTGCACCGCCATCTTGAAACTCACCTTCCCCCCGGAGCTCATCGGGAGCATGTACATGTTTCCCTTGCTCTATGCGCTTTTTCAGTCGGCAGAAGCAGGACTCTTTGTGCTGGTATACAAGATGTATGGGAGAGACAGCTACAAACAAGATATGCTCGGTGAGGAGGAAGACACAGATATTTCCTACAAGAAACTGAAGGAAGAGGAGGTGGCCGATACTTCATATGGCACAGTGACCACCGAGGAACACAACTCCATTCAAATGGAGCCGACACAGACAGCG